CCCCCCCCCTGCCCCCACCCCCATAACAGGTTACTGAAGCCAGCCGCTAATGGGAATGGAGCACTTTCACGGAGCCTGGAAGACCATAAGCAACGGCTTTGGTTTTAAGGATTCGGTGTTTGAAGACTCCTGCATGTCGCCCACTATCGTCCAAGGCTTCGCCTATCAGCGCCGTTCGTCCGGCGACGGCAAGATCACCGACTCGCCCAAGACGAGCAGCACCATCCGGGTGTACCTGCCTAACAAGCAGCGGACCGTGGTAAGCCACTTTCGCCAGGATGACGTGCTCTGGCGCCCGGTCAAGCTGAACGTATGGCATTGACTGCCGATGAAGTGGAGCTCGTGATCTTCAGAGATCCGACAGCTTCCTTATTTAACCGTAGCTGCGAGTCTCCATGGACGACGTCACCAGCAGTTTGACATTTTATTGTTGGAGTCATGGTTCTCACACCAGTGTCTCGTGCTGCCCCACAGGTGAACGTGCGGCCCGGAATGACCCTCTACAACTGCCTGATCAAGGCCCTGAAGGTTCGAGGGCTTCAGCCCGCATGCTGTGCCGTCTTCAGGCTGCACCCCGGACTGAAGAGGCAAGCTTTAGAGGACCCCAGAGTGCCCTCCCATTTTGTCCACTTTCCATCACCCTTCCTTCCTACAGAACTGGTTGTACTGGTCACATTGGAGATCGGGAATTGTTCATGAGACTGAAGAGTTTGGCCTTAAATGCCAGACAGGGACGGGGGCTGTAGTCAGAATTTCCATAATAATTGTGGGAGTAAATTGTGGAGTTTAAAACTTATAAGCCTTTATTAATACTTCAGCTAATTTGGTAATTTGGGGGGATCTTTAATTAAAGATGAAGCCACATTTTCATTTTAAATACTACGTCTCGGCCCATAAAAGTCTCCAATATGTGCATTTAATTCCCATCTGGGCCAGTGATGTGAAGCTACGCCATGTTATGCTAAATGCTAAATTTGCGGTCAGAGTTGTGCAGAATCCTTTGTGTTCTTTGAGTTATAACTCAATGTGGCTGCCCTGCCCTCAAGGGGAATGTGCGGAAGTTCAGTGGCAGTAATCTGGCCAGACACCTTTCACAAATACAACAAAAGCAACAGGCTGCTGACACATTTTACAGTTATTCCCCGCCAGTCCTTTGTGGTCCCAGTGTGACTGTGAGGTTTTCTTGATACTGAGTGTGCATTTTAATCACACACACACACTAGAGTTTGGTACAAATCTATCGATTTAATATTCGTCCACTCTTGAAGTAGCAAAGCCTAAATGTTAACCTGTTTTTCAATATGGTTAATAATGAATTTCTTTAAATTGCACAAAAACTTAAATGTGAGCTTTTGAATTGCTATCCAGTTAGCACTGTAGGTATGTTAGTGTTCTTCACTACATGTGATCAGGCACACCACCAACATACAGATTTTTTTTCACAAGTTTCAAATGTAGGGCTACAGTGGATCAGATTATGGTTCTGTTCCAACTCCTTGTGTCAGTGTGGGGTGAGATTTTTTCTTTCCTTGTTGAGATTTCCTGGTGCTTCTGTGTCTGTATACAGCAAGAAGTCCCGCATGGATTGGAACACAGACTCTACCTCGCTGATCGGGGAAGACCTGCTGGTGGAAGTCTTAGACCACGTGCCCCTGACCACGCACAACTTCGTGAGTACGCACAAAAAGATAAAGAGCGTCCCAATCCGTCCTGCCCCGCCCTGGCCGTGTTTGGCACCCACCCCCCATGGCTGAAAGCCGTGTCTCTGGTTCCGCTCAGGTCCGGAAGACGTTCCTGAAGCTGGCGTTCTGCGACATCTGCCAGAAGTTCCTGCTGAACGGCTTCCGGTGCCAGACCTGCGGTTATAAGTTTCACGAGCACTGCAGCACCAAAGTGCCCACGATGTGCGTGGACTGGAGCAACATGAGGCAGCTTCTGTGAGTGCTGCTATGCAGAGCAGAAAGAGCTCTTTGTATTGTGTCCTTCAGGGAAATGCAGGCTAATCCTGTGAGTGGTGACATGATCTTTCTGATATTACTGTAATTTCACTTTCAATTGACCCATCTAAATATTAGTTGAGAATAAGAGCCTGAGTACAGGGACTAATTGCTGCTTGAACAGCTCCTTCCTTCAGGCTGTTGCCCTCATAATTAACCCTTGAGAAGCACCCTGGAACCTCTTGGACATTTTCTTATTTAGTTGCCCACCATAAGAACATCATACTCCTACGTAGGTGATTCTAGACCCTTTTTATGAGGGATATAGCCCAACTCAATAATTGCCCCCATCCTGTTGACTCGATAAGCTTGTTTGCATATGCCCCAGATCTGTTTGTACCCTACATCTGGTTGAGGCAACCAGCTATATTTAATTTCTTGCACACATCAAGCCAGTTTATGTGGTGATTTATTCATTTGATTTAGGTCATCACCCGCTTGCTGTTCTTCTATGACACAAGTGTGCCTTTATGCAGTCATTCGAAAATTACTATAAACGCACATTCACAACACAATGTTATTTTGCAAGTAAAATGTGTAACGCCTTTTTGTGGTCACATACCTTTCAATTAAGTCTGTGTGTAGAAGCTCAGCATTGCTGCCTCAGAGTTTTAAAGGTATTTGTCAATGAAAATTAAAGGTTTCAAACATGAAGGGCCTTTAATTTTGTATTTGGGATAGAGTCCTTGGGTTAGGTGATGGTTTTAAGATCGTAATGGCTGAGGAACCTCGGTTCTTTAAATAATTTAGATCAGAACCTAGCTATAATGACAAGACTATTTTAACATGATGCTCAACCTTGGTTTTGATTCTGGCCAGAATTATTGACCGATATCTTTACACAATGTCATTTTTAAGGATATACAGTACAGTGAAGAGAAATAAAATGTTTAAATGATCTTTGTGTCAAACTATATTATGCCTGTCAAAGTGTTAACTTAATTTTAAAACGTCTCCTACAGAAACCATCCAATACACCCATGTATTTTGTGACCTGACTCCTAGCATGCCTCATGGCTAATATCTCTTTAAATTTTTTGACTTGACTACATTGACTAAGTGCTGTAACTTAAGCAGTGCTGTAAGTTAAACTGGCGCATTGGACTGGGCCACTCGGCACATGATCGACACATGATGCTTCTCCTTCAGCCTCTTCCCGTCTCCGGGCGAGAGCGGTGGCCATTCCCTGCCGCCGCTCTCATCGCGGCGTGTTCGGGACTCCATCTCCCGCTTACCCTCCAGGTGAGTGTGACCAGCTGCTCTGGGGTGGGGGGTGGGGGGGGTGACAGGAGTGCTGGATGACATAGGGCAGTCTTTTCCACGTTTTTGCTTACTGGAAGCTGTGATGGAACAAAAACATGGACCGACCATGGCCCCACTGAGAACCGTATTGGGTAATGCTGGCATAGGAGACCCCCGTGTGGGACTCGGGACCGCTGTATCCCCGGGAGAGACCCTGGAACCATTTGGGAGGGATGAGATGATATCTAACAAGGCGAAACGGACTTGGACGAATGTGTGGGTAGGATTTTAGCTGCGGCTGGTGTGACGGCTAGTTGGGGCCATGCCGTGTCAGATGGCGGCATAACGACACCCTAAACAAAACGGTGCTTATGTGTGGCTAGTTTTACAAATTATAACATGGGTCCCGTGTCCCTCTGTCAGGTTAATTTCAGGAGCTGTTAAAATGGCAAGTTTTTCAGTTAATAACAATAAAATAATATTCATTCTGTTTTTTTCTTCCCTTCGTAATTGCCCCAAGCTCTCAGCACAGACACTCTACCCCCCATGCCTTCAGTGATGTGACGCCCTACCCGTCCTCTGGGGGCTCCCTCTCCCAGAGGCAGAGGTCGACCTCCACGCCCAACGTGCACATGGTCAGTACCACGGCGCCCTTCGACGGCAGCATAATTGAGGTAACGGGCCTACCGCCCCCGCGGGCTTTAACACATCCGCTTCTCCCTTTCTTCCTCCTGTGTTTAAAATATCTGCTTTTCCTTGACTTTTCACCTTGTGCTTTGCCTTTAGTCCATTCCTTTATCCTGTTTGTTAAATTCCACTCTTTTATACTTTTCACCTTGTTCTTGTGTCCTGTCAGCCTGGTCTTTCCTTGGCTGTCCCGTCCTTTAACAGACACATGCAGTAATGTGCTCATTACGGGAGAGCACCCTGACAGAGGGCATCCAGGTAGCCCCTACCCCCCCCCCCCCCCCCCCCCCCCCCCCCTCCCCCCCCCCCCCCCCCCCCCCCCCTCATCTGTCCCTTCTTCTCTCCTCACTGTCCCCCTGCCCCGTGTCCTGCTCCCTGGGAGTAGTTCGATTGCCTGAACGTGTCCCCTAGCTCCTGGTGTCGCCGTTTTTGCCTGAAGAGAAGAGTCGGTATCGTTCACTTAACCAGAGCCGTAGCCGACGCTAGACAAGGCCCCCCAGAAACAGTCAGAAATGTAAGAAGGACCCCCCCCCCCAATTTTACCTGCTTGACTAAACTATCCAGTCCCCTTTGCCTGTTTTTCTATGACTGCCAGTCCACCCTCATGTAATGATGTCGTACTGAGTGGATAATAGCATGAAGCGCTTGAGTTTCGTAATTTTAGCCCCCCCCCACCCCCCCGGGTGGAGTCTGGCCAGATCCAGGACAGGAATAGCCTTACCTCCAAAACGGCAGCGAGAAAGGCACAGTGATGATGCAAAGAGCAGGACTGGCAGCCTCTGGTCCCACGGGGAACCGTCACTTGCTGACTAATGCTGCCTGATTTGGGGTGTTTCTCTGCTCAACCTGGTTATGTCCAGAACATTGTGGAGATATTTTAACCGAAACTAATTGGTGTGTTACTGCAGGTTCAGCAGCAGTGTGGAGTTTGGCATTGAAAATACACCGTGCATGACACATTTAACCTGGCGTTACGAATAACCAAAGACGAAAAAGAAAATCCTGATTTTCTTATTAGGGCTTGAGTTTTATATAATATCTTCGAAAGGTTTTGAAAGAGGTTCTTTGTGTAATGAGATCCACAGCTGATGTCATTTAATCTGCCTTTTTTTTTCCCCCTTTCAGGATGTCCTGATAGGTGGTGATACTGGTAAGATGCTAAATATGAATTTCGTCCAAAAGTTTTTCTTTATCACAGGATCTTTAAATTTGTTGGGTTTTTTTTTTCCCCCCACTTCGACATTTCAAATGGTTTGATAACTTTTGATGACTTTTTGTCATCTCATCACTGCTGCAGTAATGTCTTCCAGCTGTTTTGCTCTTTGGTAAAACTTCACACCTGCTCCCATACAACAGGGAGTCCGCAGAACCAGAGCCCGACGGGCTGGTCCCAGTCCATGACCCTGGCCCCCGCGCACAGGGAGAGGGCCCCCTCCAGCAACACGCATGAGAAAAATCGAATCGTAAGTATCACCCATTCCACCCACGGTGACTGCGGCTGATGTTTGGGCTGCCTGATGTTCTGATTCTTTTGCAGCCTCTTTCTTTGGGCTGCAATGATGCACAATCCTTATGGGCCATACGATTACATCATATTCGGTTTAGACCATACAATGAAACAAATTAGTTCATTTATGTACATGGGCGGAACGTAAATTCACAATTGGATGTTCAGGACAGAAAACATTATGCTAATTGTGACTTTGAGTTGGTTACAGCTAGTGCTAGTGAGCTCAGACTCTCCCACGACACTTAAATCAGTAGTTTGGGAACATTTTGGCTTCCCATTAAATTACACCAACACCAGAGAGAGTAAAGACCAAGAATGTCGGTTCTGTTATACCAGACTTGGATATGTTCCTGGAAACGCATTCAATGAGCAAATAAGCATCTCTTAGGTTTTGTTATTCAGACATATGAACAGACACATTACCTTATTTAGTTTACATCTGTTCCTTATTGTTTGCAGTCTTACAATTTGTTCTGAAATTATTGTTTCCCTGCTGTACTGAATTGTACACAAAATGGAGGTTTGCACCGGACCATGAATTTTGTGTACCGTTACACCCCTACACTCTTCTCTTTGGGACCTTCCTCCTACAGCGGCCTCGTGACAAGCGAGACTCCAGTTACTACTGGGAGATAGAAGCCAGCGAAGTGACGCTGCTGTCCCGGATCGGCTCCGGGTCCTTCGGGACCGTGTACAAAGGGAAGTGGCACGGTATGTCGAGCTGCCGCCGGGGCAGAAGCTCGCTTTTGGGGTTCAGTCCAGCTGGTGCTGAGATGGTCCGCCAACATCCAGAGATGATGCTGGTTCCTCCCAAGCATAAAGTGCTTGTTCTGGCAACACAACCTGCTCTTTGCTGTTGAAATATAAGTGATGGAAGCCTTCTGTCCCCCCACCCCCCCCAATGGCAGGTGATGTGGCCGTGAAGATTTTAAAGGTCGCTGATCCAACTCCGGAGCAATTCCAGGCCTTTCGCAATGAGGTAGCAGTTCTGAGGTAGGGATGAGCTCAAGGTGTGAGGGTTCTGCTCTTTGGGTTAAGTTCTGCCTTTTCCCAAAGATGTCGATGTGACGTCTTTGAACTTCTTAGTGTGTAATGATGATGTGTTGTGGGACACAGCCATCAGTCAGACCTGCACGCACACACACCTCTCTGTACACTCTTCTGCAGATCTCATTCCATCAGCTTGCCCCATATAACGTTCTGAATTTGTGTACGTATTACAAACATGATATTTACTGCCACATGTACAGCATTAATATTACTGCAATTATCTCTGGATGCTACTAGTGTTTAGCAGTCATACTTGGCAAAGAACACGCAGGTTACTTTCCACTATTAAACTTTTGTGGTAATGCTTCACATCTGTCCTTAGCCGTCATGTAACTCCTGACACCCCTTCTCTGCGCAAATGTTTGTTCAAGGCAGTACTTTGCGAGAGATTTTTACTAACATTAAATCAGAGGCAGTTCTAGATTTTTATTTATTTTTTCTAACAAATGCCAATGTAAAGAACCTTATTCAGAATTTCTCTCTCTAGCCTAGCTTCTGTGTCTAACACAGCCCTTGCTGCATGGCAAGAAAACTCGATTAACTTTACCACTTTTGTGCATTCCTGTCACGCTTACAGGAAGACCAGACACGTCAACATCCTGTTGTTCATGGGATACATGACGAAAGAGAACCTCGCCATCGTGACGCAGTGGTGCGATGGCAGTAGCCTCTACAAACATCTGCATGTGCAGGAGACCAACCTGCAGATGTTTCAGCTCATCGACATCGCCAGGCAGACTGCCCAGGGCATGGAGTGAGTGAGCACTGTGGCCCAATGGGGGCAACATTAATGTAAAAGGGGGGGGGGGCAGGCATCTCCATGGACCAGGAAGTAAGAGACCCACACTGTACCACACTGTCCAGCTGTCCTCCACCAAACTCGCCTATTCCTGGAAAGTGGTTCCCTTACAGAGAACATTTTTGCTGTTATTGACGTGCAATATGGCAATGAGGTTTCGTGTTTAATGGTTCTGCATTTGTTCAGACTCATCCGTCTTCATATGTTGGTGTAGTTGTATCTGGTATCAATGAATTTTTGGACTCCTAGGATTTAAAAGCATTTCTGTGTCTTGGGTGCTTTTCACACATTCTTTCACAAAAAAAAGCACTATTCAGCAAAGAATTGAACACTCTAAATTCTGCTTGTCTTTCTTTTGTATTAGTTATCTACATGCAAAGAATATCATCCATCGGGACATGAAGTCAAACAGTATCCTTTTTTTTGAAGGTCTTGTTCTGTAGAGTGACCACGAAACCTCAGCCCAGTGTTGATGGTAAGATGCACGATCGATTGATGACACTGCAGTGTCTAGAGTTGACAGAGAATGTTGTGTGGCTGAAAACGCCTACATGATGAGAGAAGTCGGAGGAGACTTATTAAAGCGAACAGTGGTTCTCTGAAGGCACAACTTGTCTAGCCTTGAAACCGTTCTGGAGGCAAAGGCGGGTCTTACCATGTACAAGCTACGTGGACCTAATAAAGTGGCCACTGAGTGGAGTAATTTAGAAAAGACCAGAAACATCATCATTCTTATGCAATTGAAATGATGATGTCATATAATTATAACACATGACTGTGGAAATGTACAATGTATGTCCCCTTGACATAAGTGCAGATATCTTCTTACATGAAAGTCTGACGGTAAAGATCGGAGACTTTGGCCTGGCTACTGTGAAGGCCAGGTGGAGTGGCTCCCACCAGGTGGAACAGCCCTCTGGTTCCATACTGTGGATGGTGAGTGAGGCCCTTGTTTGTCATTGGCTGTGTTTCCATGAAATTTTTGCACAAGTGGTTTTTTTTTTTTTCCTTTTCTTCTATAAGTCGACAAAGTTAAATTGTGAATAATGTATTTCCATTAATGGCAAATAGTACTTGCCATTTGTCATCCCACGAGATTAAAACCCATGTCCTGACGTTCAGCATGAGCGGGTCTTCCATGAGTTGATGGATCTACAGTGACTGATAAAATAATAATCGTGTGTTCTAAGGATCCATCCATTTTCTGGAACCACTTATCCTGTTCAGGGTCAGAGGGGGGTTGGAGCCTATGGGCACAAGGCCGGGAACACCCCAGGGGGGGCCACCAACCCATCGCAGGACACCCTCATACTCCCCACTCACTCACACATGTATGCCTGTGGGCAATTTGGTAACTCCAATTAACCTCAGCATGTTTGTGGACTGGGGGGGTGGGGGACTGGAGTACCCATGGGAATCCCCACGGGAATCACCACGATGACACGGGGAGAACATGCAAACTCACACACATGGAACCCTGGCGGAGACTGAAACCCAGGCAACAGCGCTAACCACTGGACCACCATGCCCCGTCCTAAAGATCTACTCATTCAAATTCTGTTTCCATTGTAGTTTTGCAAATTACTTTTTTCAACTTTTATACAAAAACCACTTCAAGCGACTAACTTGCGTCTTGTTTTGCTGTGTTGGCGGTTTGTCTCTCACTTGTAGGCCTTTTCATAATCAACGGTTAAATAGTAATAGAATCTATTTTGTGTAGCACTACATAGCTGAAATATTTGGGGTATACGCCATAACAGTTTATAGAAGAAGGTTTTGACACCTGATAGTTGCAGACACACTATATGGGTATTTTTGGTGGCACTATTTTTGCACGGGGCATGTGGAAGCTTAGCAGAGTAAATGGAGCGTGCCTGTCCGTTTCAGGTAACCTGAATGTTGATTTTACCGTAAGGAAAATGTTAAAAGGTCTTACAAATTAATAATTTTGCTTTTAGTAACATCCGATTGTAATGCTATAACCAGTTCTTAAACGTATAGCTAACTCGGGTTGCTATGAATGAGATCAGAGAGTTTATCAAAAGTAACCTAATTTGCACTTAAAAAGCTTAATTGGTTGTTTTCCAATATCTAGACTGAAATTGGGTGTTCATGTTGGCAGTTTCGCTTTTAACATATGAAACACGAGTCAGATGAGCTACATTCTTTCCACCAAACACACTACTTGAGCACCTGTTACTTAAGTCTGACTTTGTTCAGAAGAGAGGATGAAACCGCTGGTTTTTCCAGCTTTCCAGTTTACAGGTTAAAAACAAATTTAAAAATACACCGGCTCATATTTACTGTGAAGTATCTCTCACTCTTTCAGATTCTTACACCTTGATCTTCAGTCTGTGTATTTGGACGGACACATTTTCATTGGTTATTAAATATAATGTGCGAGCTTTCGGTCCTTGGAATGCCGGATAAACTAGCCCAAGTACTTCAGCTGATACCGATTTTTGTACTGTAATGGGTAGCGTAAAATGACATCTTTCTGAAATTTCTGGCTTGCAGGTTTTTTTGCAACTTAGATTATGTTGGGCTGGATAATAACCCATCAATCCATCCCTATTCTAACCTCTCACCCTGGTCAGTGCTGTTTGGAACACATGTATAACTAGAAATTCTAGGGCCCCTGACAATGTCACCTTAGACCCCCATTGTGTAATTTTACATATTCGGGGGCCCCTGTAAAGCACTGGGCTCCCTGAATCTTCCAGGGTATCCCTGCCTTTACGGCACTCTTGCATATTGCGTGTTTGTTACTCTAACCAACTATAACCCGTATATGTGTGCAGGGTTAGCAAAATATCCCACTGGTTAGCTGATACCTGTAGAGCTCTGAAGGTGAGTGTCATCTTGGAGAACAAAGGTTCTTGCTATTAAGTTGAAATGCCAAAATTCTAAAAAATCTGCTTGGTTTACAAAGGTGCCTCAGACAAAATCTGTTGCACAATTTATTGTAATTACATGATCATTTATATAGATAAATAGAACCAGAAGGTCTGCAATGTGTGAGAACCGCCTGTGTATCTGTCTGTCCCCCCACCCCCCCAGGCCCCTGAGGTCATTCGCATGCAGGACAGTAACCCGTACAGCTTCCAGTCGGACGTCTACGCCTACGGCATCGTGCTCTACGAGCTGATGACGGGAGAGCTTCCGTACGCCCTGATCGCTAACAGAGACCAGGTAACCGCAGGTGACAGGGGCAGCCGAGATAACAGAGGGGATTTTGAGGTGAAAATGAGGCTGAGAACAAAAAGGAGATCTGCAATGATTGCAGTGGACCGCACCGTGCAGAGCTAGACTTTTATTTAAGGGGGGGGGGGCAAAGGGTGAGCAAGGGTTTCTCAGAGGGGTCCATATAAATATGATAAATGAAGGAAAAAAATATTTCTCGTACACTCATAATAAACGAGTTTGTAAATGTTTGCTGAATAAACACAACAAACATTTACAAAATCATAAACAACAATCATAAAGACCAAGCAATTCAGCATGTGCACTAAAACATACATACGTACAAAGATGCTGTCTAAAAGACGATCTATATCAGCACGAGCAGAGCTCGTGGCTAATTTAAACGAGACATGGAGCAGACAGTGCGCAGCGCTTTCATGCTGCTATTTTTTATGTACTGCAAGTGTGTG